ATTCCACGTAATAAGCGTTAGTTCTACTCAAATGAAGTCCTTTAAACTCCAATGTAGACCTCCATAATTCAAGTTTTCCTGGGATTTTTCTCTCATCTTATCCACGAGAAAGATATCATCAGCAAAAAGCATACACCAAGGTACATCCTCCTATAAATGTCTAGTAAGACCATCCATAACTAAAGCAAAAGGATATGGGCTTAAAGTCGATCCCTGATGTAATCTAACAGAAATTTGGAAAATATTTGGTCAATAAACGGGAACGAAAGGTCGGACGGTGAAATCAATTCTCTGCATTTCTAATTCTATCACTGACGATTTAATATTCAAATAATACATCAACGAGTCACTAAATAAAGTAATTAAAAATTAACAGGTAGAAATGTGTACATTTTCGTTTGTTCATCTTCTATATATATTTGATCATCTTTTATTCATCTTGTTGAAATGTTTAAAGCATAAATATAATATGAAAGCAATATAATGAATTATCCAAATATAACCAGAGAGTAATCACACTTCTAAACTACAGTAATTCAAAGATAAGAATTCAATAGGCATGCAAGTTTATAAAAAATCTTTTAATATGTCGATTTTTCATCTTTTTATAAGAAACCTGAAATATGTTTGCTAATGCACGCATCAATGACTTTTTCTAAATGACTTTTTCTAAATAAAACTACTTAATTTTCTATAAATATTTACTTTAACCTTACATTTACTTTATACTTTACATATACTTCTGTCTCTGTGAGGGTCACCGTCAACAAACCTCACACTTTTGACCGATATTGCCCCGTTGGCTCCCGTCATCACAGCAATTAGCGATCTACATATTACAATTGTCTTGGGTAAAAATGTACTTACCTGCCCCTGACCAACATTATCCCGTCGACACAGTGGTTAATAATATAAACATTACAATTTTCTCGGGAGATAAGCTATCGTTTACTCGCTCATGGCCGATATTACCCCGTCGACGAGCGAATAGTGAATTGTCACAATTTTCTGGGGTGGTAGAAGAATAACTCTATGCGCACGGGTAAACTTGCGCCCCCTGTCTGTAGCATTAGGGGGTGAGCTCATCCTCTGAACATGGTCATACAAGCATTCATATATAAGTTATTTCATTCTTCATACATATATTATTCTGAGACATTTTTATGTAATCTACTAACATGCATATTTATTCTTACTCTGTTGTATAACTATTATCAAGCATCTCTCATATCATTCATATATCTATTTTATGCATATCTCTTACCCATATCATACATATCATTTTCTACGATGATTATCATGTGTATCTTTCCTATTATCTCTATTCTACACATCATATCTATCATATTTATCATACTTCACATACATATCTTTTATATCCATCCATACGAAGAATCTATTGTAATTTGAATCTCACCGAACTGCAACATACATGTAATCCAAATATAATTTGAAATAAAGGCGATTACTGAAATTTAGAAAAGTTGCCTAAATTTTCACGCAAACAATTAGTTGATCGTTGGATAACCTTTTTGTTGATTTATATAATCTAAATAACAAAATTGAATATTAAAATTCAACCAATTTTCGCCAATCAATATGTTGTTTTTGTATTATATTTTGGTTTTAAACATTTGAATAAAATGAACAGAAGAGGATCAAACGTGTAGAAGACGAGAATAACAGAAAAATAGAAATTTCTACTTGTTAATTTTAATTACTTTCTTTAGTGGTCATTTCGTGTATTATTTGATTATTAAATTACTTCACATACATATCTTTTATGCATATTTTTTATATCCATCAATATGAAGAATCTATTCTAATATGAATCTCACTGAACTGCAAAATACATGTAATCCAAATATAATTTGAAAGAAATGTGATTACTGAAATTTAGAAATGTTGCCTAAATTTTCACGAAAGTAATTAGTTGATCGTTGGATAACCTTTTTGTTGATTTATATAATCTAAATAACAAAATTGAATATTAAAATTCAACCAATTTTCGCCAATTAATATGTTGTTTTTATATTATTTAGGTTTTAAATATTTGAACAAGATGAACAGAAGAGGATCAAACGTATATAAAAGACGAGAACAACTAACGGAAAGATAGAAATTTCTACTTGTTAACTTTAATTAATTTCTTTAGTGATTTTTTCATGTATTACTTGAATATTAAACTATTAGTGATTAAATTAGAATTGCAGATAATTGATTTCCAACGTCAGACCGTCCGTTCCTATCTTGGTTAAATTCAAGCCCCAAGTCGGATCATAAAATATGTTCCCTTTCCAACCTTTTGCTTTGTTTATCTATGCCAATCTACCAGTTTTAGCTTGCTCAGTTAATTTTATTTGTGCAAACCAAAATTTTCCTTCATCAAACATTATTTTTCATTCAAAATGTTATCTAAATCTCGAACTCAAACAATAAAATCCTTTAAGATCAATTTACTATCCTAAATTAACACTTTAACTATAACATTCCTTGTTATATCATCATCTATTACTAAATTTTAACATAGACGTTAACATTCAATTTAATGGACTCATCAGTATAACGGACTCATCGGTATAACTGGAATCACATGCATGAACTTGATTAGCTTCCACATTGTCAAGTCATACATCACTTGATTCATCTTCTTATTCAACAACTCATCCGACGGATTAAGCAAAATCATCAAAATCCTATCCTTATTTCAATCTGTTAAAATATCCTGATAAATAGCTTCGCTTCTCAGTGAAATGTTGGAAAAACCTAAAGCTCCAGTACCAATTTTGAGGTATGACGATTAAGGGCCCGTTTGGGGCAGCTTATTTGGTGCAGTGGCGTTTTGAAAAAGCACCTGACCTGTTTGAGTAAACTACGTTTTGGCAGCTTATGCGTTTTGAAACGTTTTGAAAACACTGAAAACAACATTTTCAAACCACACCTATCTAGGCGTGGTGGCAGCTTTCTGATAGCGGTCTGGCTTTTCCAAGAAATAAAAATTTGTAATAGCCACCGCATCTAATTTATCAGCAGATTATTTTTAATCAGCTTATCAGCAGATTATTCAACCTAAATTAGATTTCTTGACGCAAAAAAGATGGTGTGATGTATGCAAATCATGAATGGGAACTTAAAATTTAAAAATTGCAAACCAATAAACAAGTCAAGAACTAATTTTCTTTAAATGCAAAAAATAAATACGAGAATTAGAACTGAGAAATGAATGGTCAACTATATTAGAAAAATAATCAAGAAATTTAAACCAGATAGAATCAACAAAAATATTATAATACAATCACAATGAATAAATTTATAATGTTGTCAGATTTTAACAAAATTAGAAGCACTAGCCAATCCATAACATATTATGTGGACAAGATTGGGAGAAATTGTTTGCCAAAGAGAATGTCAAAAAAATTCTATATTCTATCATCAATCATTTGAATCAAATAATCTTAAGTACTATTACATTAATACAATAAAAAAGAATACTAAAAAGCAACCATCCATAAATTAAAATAAAACTAAACTAATACTAAATAAGAAAATATACTTTAGCTAATACTAATTAAATTCAAAATAAATATGACTGATGAAAAGTCATGTTAAGTAAAACTTAAAAACACCAAGACTCCTAAGGATTGAGGCAAAACAACAATCCCTACATCAATAACAACTCAAATTAAGCTTACTCAATTCTCTTTATTAAAGGTCAGGAATCCCCAATACAATTGTGGAAACAAGTATAATCGATGTAACTATAATTATTAACTGTACATAAAAATTTTTCACGTGCACAACTTATTGAAGAAAATATGAGCCTAAGAAAAGATATTTGGACACATTGATAAAAAGATCAGATAACATTAAAAGTAAATAACAATTGCGAACTACATATAAGAATACTAGTAATTGTATTTAAATGGATGGATTTCAAATTTTAACAAGAAAGTACTCAAATTTATGATCTTCGGTGAAGATTAGTACAGTGTTACGAAGAATTTGGGTATAAAAGGAATAACTGCCTTAATTTCATATATTGTCACATATTTGCACAGCACAAGTACAAAGAAGCCAGTTCATATTTGCAGCGGTAAGGTCAATAAATAATTTATATGAAACTTTAGAAGACAATTTTTGCTTGCTTTTAGTCTTCTACGCAGACACAACTGAGGAAAACATATGACCAAACAATTATATGCCAATCGAATTTTTGAGTAAGAAATTCCAGTTGAATCATGTTAGGGCAATTCCCTGTCTAGTTAACATGAAATTGAACCCATATATGCATCCCAGTCAAATTGATCTCTCTTCTTACCATTTAGCTCCAAATACAAGTTGCCATTGTTATATGATTTATTGTACGCAATAGCTATCACTCATGCTGTTTTCCAAAATGTGCAGAAAAGAAACCGAAATTCCTCAAGGTTGAATAAAAAGTTCTTCAGCTCTAATACTAAACATCTAGCCAACAGGCTAAAAAAAACACAAAGCATTGCTCTAAATTCCCTAGTTTCATATATTGTTGAGCATAAATGGCAAAAAAGAAAATGATCGAAGAGCAAACAATCTAAGAGAAATTGGTCAAAACAGGACATAGCCTGTTAGAACTATGAAGGATGAATGATTATTTGGGCACATAGACTAATCACATTCAATACTTTTCACAAAGTAAAGTATTGGTCGTAATGGGGAAACACCACAACAATCACTGCACCAAAGAAGCACTCAAAATGTCACATTGCGAGCGCAATGCAGCAAAGGCACTAAACTACCAAACCAAGTCATAATCACACACTAAAAAAAGCTTCATGAAAGCTATCATCACAACTCTATAGCAATACCTAACATGTAAAGTATCTAACAAAGTAGCTATTTTTACTTAACCAATTCTCAGGTTGACATTTAAAATAAAAAAATTGTTGACATTTTTTTCAACAATACAATGAAGGAAGCATTTCATTGGATGTTGCAGAGCATATGACACCCAAGAAACATACTCTCCAAGGTTACCACTGAAAACACCAGATTCCCTCAACTTCATTTCATCCTCACACAGCTCATCCACTTTGTGTTTCTCTCTATAGCGCTTGTAGAACTCCTGTAAACGAGTAATATCCTGGCTCCGATCAATGGCTCCACCCTCTCGTTTAGCAAGTTTTTGCTGAAATTTATTTCAACCAAAAAAATTATAATTAGTCGGGTCTAGATTCTAAGAACAAAATTATAAATTTTTGGTGAATGATAAAGTTTTTGGAACATCAAATAACCCAGAAACCTGAAATAAATAAATTGTGATCCGGCTCAAAGCATTACAATTAAGCAAGATATACCTTTATAACTGACATTAAACCAGTCTTGAATTGCAAAACACCTCGACCTTCACTGTTAGGATCCAAATTTTGGGCCAATGAATAAGCATGTTCACATACTGCATGGCAAGCAAAACAGAAGCTCAAATGTGAATGTCCAAGGACAAAATGAGCAGCACATTTCAAAAGGATTATTAGTTGTGATTCCAACAGAAAGTCATACTTTGAGATGATTTCCACACTCACATAACAATATGACATGACATACATACAAAAGTGTTATTGGGTTATTGTTTTTTCTTAGAAGAATTACTTCAATTAAGCTGAGCTGGAATAATAAATAATAAACAGTTCTACATTTGATATGGCCCGCAACATAGCCAGGCTCTGTTAATGACTAAACAGGGATCCAGATTAAATCACTTGTGGAGCCAAGAAGTAAAAAGATCAGGGAAGATCAGTAGAAAAGAATGGAATTACTGCTATCAATAAACTTCATGATCTATTCTTTCTAATTATATTAGTATTCCCACTTGCACTCCCAACTGCTCCTTTAAGCTGGAAAACAGGGATCATTAGATGACTAATTCATAGAGACCATATTGGTTTGACACATAGACTACCTATTATGTAACCACTCCTTATACTTGTTTGCTGCTAAATCCAACTACTGTGCCAGTGTCATCCAATGTATGACTGTTTTGGTGCTGTAAATCTATCCAAATCTACGAAAAAATCATCTACTTTTTTATGTCAAAAATTATAATGGGTATATAAAAAGCACAAAAGCAATTGAAAAAACAGAAAATGTTGATACTGTAAGAAGATATGTCAAATAAGATCCATCGAATACGTCAAAAAAACATTTACTATTAGCAACTCACCACTCGGAATTCACTATATCCATCACTAGCACGGGGCATACAAGTAGATATTAGGTAATAGGCGATAACTTTTCCAAGGATCATCCTGCATTCCAGCCTGATTGAACATAACAAAGTTACTACCTACATGCCTGTAAATTCTTCTCAAATTTCTTCAATCAAAATTATATATTTATTATGATATTTTCAACAAAATGGAGCAACATCCAATCATTTTATTTTCCAGTTTGGTATCGCCTCTAAAAATAAAAAATTTTCCCAAAAAAACTGCATCACTGGCATCTGCACATTCTTCCCCTTAGCCAAACGACCAACCAAAACCTACAAATGTTGTGCCAACAGTACCACCATTCGCCCAACTTCAACGGGTCCAGTCTTCATGTATTTTTGTAAAGCAAAGCTCCCACTAAATTCTAAGATTATCAACATGCAGTCAAACAACAAAGACACTTAACCAATGCTTAAAATCATTCGACTTTTGCTTAATAATGTGTAAACGATTTCTTACCCTAACCAACCGAAAAATGAAACTTGCACAAGAAGTAACAAAAGTTTGAAGCTTACATATTCTAGAGACATTGGGATCCTCTTCAAGTATCTCATCAGCAGCTCTAAGTATCTCGTCGATGTGCAAGTTGTTTGCCAGAGAAGAAGGAACATTTCCTGCAATCCCACTGACAGGCTGCCCAAGTGAACCCACCCCGACCCTCTCCCTCCTCAGAGCAGCTCGTACCAGCCGCTCCCAGTTCGCCTCCGCCGCCATCGCCTTTACCCAAAAATCAAAAAAAAAAAGTGAAATTAAAAATCAGACAAACATATATAGGAAAAAAGTGAAATTAAAAATCAGACAAACATATATAAACATTCAGGCACAACAATAGTTGCCGGAGCTCATCGAACCCTAGAGGCAGAAATCAAATGAGAACAAACAAGCAAACGGAGAGCATCGCGACGAATACCGATGAAGGTGGTCGAGAAGGAAGCTCTTACAACGGGAGCGGAAAACAATGGCCGCAGTTTCTTCCCCTCCGAGCAGGCGATGGGAGTAGACTAAATGGACTTAGCCTTGTCAAAATCAGGTTGCTTGGTTACGAATTAGAATGGATTCCCGCTGTGCCTTGTGGTCTCACGCGTAATCACTTGTTACGTAATTTACCCGGTAAGCATTTGTAAATAATTATTTACATTAAATTAATATTCTAGCCCTTTTTCAATGACATTATTTCTCATATTTCATGTTAATAGTTTTTAGATTCGGCTCTCTTGTCAAATTTATGGATGACATGCAATGGTGAATTATGTGTAATATGTTCCGGCACTTAAATTTTATAAATAAGGGATTATTTGATTGGCAGGAAACAAATGCATTATATTTGTTTTGGATGAGTTTTAAAAATTTTGACATTTGGTTCGCAGAATTTAGCATATAAGTTATAGGTGAGCTCGCATAGTTATGTGGTGCTCCTATCAGCCACTAGGAAGTCACCATCAAATTTGATACACCATCAATAAATTTTCATTATTCAACAAGGTCTCTCAACTATAGTCTCTTGGTCCTACGAATGTTATCATAGTTCATGTAGCTCAAAAGTGTAGACTCTGCGACCTATGGATATTATTATAGCCCACCATTACAGCCAACCTGATCAACTACGACCTACTGGTTTATAGCTCGTGCAGTTCTTAACTCCGACCTCTATGACCTACAGACATTATTAGTGTAGTTTTTTTTTTTTTTTTGGACCTCCATAGATATTGAAAGATTTATATCTAAATGAACGAATACGACATGCGAAGAATAATATAAAATCTAGAGAGATAGAAACATTACCTTAGAATGAATTCGAGCATAAGAGGAATCTTTGGGGTCTACGGAACCAGGCTTCTTCCCATACCTTACGGGTGCAAGATAAAGTTTATTTTAATTTTAGATTTGTATTCTCTACAAGGGCAAGCCTTCGTAGTTGATAACATCTTTAGAGACATATGCCCTAGAGAAAACCTTTCGATTAATATGTTAAGTTGAGTTATCAAAAATTGGGCTTTCATAATTGGAGTAAGAAAGGGTCTAAATTGAAAGAATTAAGTTTTAAATGATGGCTCTTACAATCTGATGACGACTTGCCGGTCTAAATTGAAAGAATTAAGTTCTAAATGATGGCTCTTACAATCTGATGACGACTTGCCATGGGAAATTCCCAAAACATAAGAAAGATTTGAAATGGGTGAAGTCAAAAGATAGATTGGAGATAATGGATTTGACTGACATGAGTGATTAAAAACCCTAAGCTAAATATAAAGTCAGGTATAAAAGAATTCTAAATGGAAAATGAAACCTTAAACTCTATAGGGAATTCTATAGGCGGACTAACCTACACTCTGGGAATAATATCCTCGATCAAGATTTTCATAGCTTTTCGTCATCCCGGGAACATTGGTATACTTCGACTTCTAGTATACTAAGTTCTCATTTTTTATCTCTGGGAATAATAAGTTCTCATTTTTTATTTTAGTGTGTTTTAAATATTTATTTGAAGTTCAATTTTTAATTCATGCCTTTTTTTGCTTCTAGTTTGTCAATCAAGTTGAGAAATCAAGTTTTTCTGTGTTTTGAGTTTTGTTTTATTTGAATTTTGAATTTTGATGTTTGCGGAGAGAGCTTAAAAGCTATCATCCCTGTTTGTGTGTTTATGTATTTTTTTGTCATTTTATTTTAGAAAATGAAATAACACGTGAAAAAAAAGCATGAAATGACATATGAAATATGAAACGACATGTGAAATAGAACATACAAAATAACATTTATCCTGGATAAAACTCGGGCTAGGGTTGAGCTAGGGTAAGCTAGGCTTTCAACTTAAGTTAGCTAGAGGTTGATTCAAGGTGCAGTGTGAGACAGTTGATTTGGGCCTAGGCCGGCTCTAAATTAGGTTAGGTTAAACTGGGTTTGGTTTGGGTTGGCCCGAATTGGCTTGGGTTGATCTAGTTAGCCTTAGATTTTATTTGGGTTTCACCTGAGTTAAGCTAGGTTTACTTGGGTAGGCTTGGGTTTAACCCGGGTTAAGTTGGGTTGACCCGAGTTGGATTAGGTTTGAGCTAGGGTTTAGTTTAGGTTTATGGTTTAGCTGAGGTTTTGAGTCTGAACTGGGTTAGTTTAGGGTTTGGGTCAGGTCTGATTTGGGTTAGACTTAAGTTAGGTTTAGGATTTAGGTCAGGTTTGGGTCTGTTTTGAGTCAGGTCTGATTTGGGTTAGACTTGAGTTAAGTTTAGAGCTTGACTAAGTGAGTCAGGATTAAAATGGGTTTAGATTGAATTGAGTTGAACTCAAAACCAAAACTAATCCAAGGTTATTGGGTTGATTGACCTTGCTTAAAGCCAACTTGGAATTGAAATAAATGCTTAATTAAAAAAAAATCTAAGCATGAGACTTACTAAAGAAGGAGGCTTGATTGGAGGAGGAGGTTTGCCCGAGTCCTGCTTCCCTTCTTCTTCTTCCTCTGCTCAGAGTCAATGTCAGAGAGTTTGAGTGTTTGAGATTCAATTTCCCCTTTAGCAGAGTGCCAATTTATAGGCTCTGAAGGAAGTTGAGCACTCCAAAGCCACATGATTGGGTGGCGGGTTGATGACGAAGATCCATCGAATAGTTAGTGAGCCATGGAACGCTGTAAGTGAAATGGCGCAATAATTCATGGTCTAATCCGTGGACAAAGGACATAAATCATTAACATGTGAAGATGGTTTTCCTGGGCATGGTCACGTCCAGACCTAACGTGATCATGTTGATGAAACTTTAGGCGTGATCACACTTGGGTCAGGCATGACCATGTCGAGGTACTTTGGGATATGGCCACACCCAGGCCTGGTGTGACCACGATAGGCCAAAAAAAAGCAAACTACTTTTTTGACCAATTTTATTGTGCCAGACTAAGGGGTGATGTCAATGTAAGTCTTATCTGACCAAAAATGAGGTCAACAATAATCACATCTTATGTAGCTCCCAACTCCAACCTTTTGTGTCCTATGTATGTTATCTCAGTTGATGTAGCTCCCAACTATGACATATACATCTTACGGGCATTATTGCAACCCACCATTACAATATACGTGACTAATTATTACCTTAGAATCCACAACTCATGTAGCTCACAACTCTGACTTATATGACCAATGAATGTTATCACAACTCACCACCACAGCATGCATGTCAAACTAAGGCCTACATGTTCCACAGTTTATGCAACTCCTAATTCTAACATGTATGGTCTGTGAGCGTTATCACAGCTCACCACTATAACTATGTTACCAACTCCATACATAGCTCATGTAACCCCCAACTTAGACCTCTGTAGTCGACGGATAGTATTGCAACTCACCAATACAACCTATGTGACTTACAACTTTTGCAGGTCCCAACTATAACCTCAATGCCTACTAATGTTTGTGAAGCAACCTTCTATAACCCACATGGCCAACTACTACCATGACTTTTAACTATGACCTCTACAATATGTTGATACTACAACCATCTTCTACAACATTCAATGTGGATTGTTACATCCATAGCGATCGACTACGTCTCCTATTGATGTGTGAAAAGATTGCATGAATTTTCTTACATTTTGCACATTTTTTTAATTAAATTGCACTTTAAAGAAAGGTATTTGTATGTTTTTCTTGCAAGTATAACATGGAACAAAGTGGAAGGAATATGGAGCAAGAAGGAGAAAATTTGGACAAAAAAATAGTTTGTGAATGTTGGGGCCATGACACTAAGTGCTCGACACCTTTGTGTCAACCAAAGCTTGAAATTCAAGAGATTGTTGTCAAGGCACCAACCACTGGGCTCCTTGGCCTTAGTCTGAAGGCCAAGGCCATGACACCAAATCAGTATGGCTCTTAAACATCAATCAAGTAAAGTACAACCCGAGAGGTTGGTGCTTAGGCGACAACCACTCGCACCATGGCCTAAGTCCTAAAGGTCAAGGCCATGGTGCCAGAATAGAGCGGTGTCTAGGCGCCAATACCAAATTCTATCCAAGTTTGGGCAGTTCGAGCCATCTGTTCATGGCACTTCTTGGGCAAATGACCCTACCCACAACTACATAATTATTTAAGCTTGAAGACATGGCCAAAATTATGACTTAATTTATATTTAGTGACTAGTGTGCAAAATAAATGTGTAATTGAATTGATTAATTGTTTACACATATGAAGTACCACACAAGTATATGTATCGTTTCAAGCAATATAGAGTTTTCCTTAAAAACTCACGTATCGAACCCACAGGAAAATAAGGAATTTACTATGCTAACTTAGAAATATTTCTACTTAAGTTGTAAATTGCAAGAGAATAATATAGAATTGTTTGAAAAAGGGTGTTACTAAAGCGGCTACTTCTAATTTAAACTAAAAGTAAATGTAAATTCTCTAAATTAAAAATGTGTGAAGGAGTACGATTATAATAAAAAATCTTTTCCCTTGCAAAGAGGTTGTAAACCAGTATAGGAATCAAACGATTAAATATGAAAATGATGTATTGTGACAAATAGAAGCATATATATTTTATACCCCTTCCAAGCATAAAGAACATTGGCTAATCTAAAGTTAGTTCTCACTTGTGTTGTAGTGTTGAGTAGATTCTAGCCTCTCAGTTCTAGATTACCCACTATGCCCTCTTTATAGAACGTACCAGGGACCCTTAGTTCCAACAATAGAGTAAATTGGTAATGAATCTAGCCTATCGCCTTAGAAACACCAATTTTACACCCATCAAAACTTATCTCCCTATCTATTTGCACTCCCACTTGATTTGGCATCTCCTTCCTTCAAGGTTTAGTGTGGTACTCACTAGTTGGTGAAATCATAGCCCTCATGAGTCATTATGTTTTGCAACGATTTTTGACATCACAAATGACTAGTTTGCGTAAATGAAGAGCCGATGAAAATACCATCACAAATTGTTTGAATAAAAGAAATCTCTAAAACATTTTAATTCCACACATCATTACTTCGTATTGAAAGAGAAAGAAAAGAAAAATACTTAGAAAGCATGGGGATAACAAAACAAAACAACATATATATAAAAGTCAAGTTTACAAGATAAATCTTAAACAAA